CTATCGTGAGTTCTCCAAAGAATATTTGTTTCGGGAACCGGTGGTCTGCCATACGGACTACGTGTCCCATCCAACGGAGCTGAAACTGCATCAGAGTGGTAAAGATACTAGGTAGGTTCGCTCTAGCGAGGACCTCGGTGTCGGGGACTTCGTCTTGCCACCTGATGTCGAGGAGTTTCCTGAGGCAGGTAGTGTGAAAATGATTCAGTTTCTTGGCGTGACGCTGGTAGACAGTCCACGTTTCACATCCATAGAGCAGTGTCGGGAGGACTGCTGCGCTATAGACCTTGAGCTTTGTTTCTCGAAATAGGGCACTAGCTTTTGCGAGTCTGCCATTCATTTCATCATCCATGACGACAGATCTAGAGATGGTGCTGCCCAAGTATGTATATATATATATATATATATATATATATATATATATATATATAATTAACTAGACACCAGCGCACGATTTGAATAGCTTTAATCTGTAAGAAATGCTCCCTCTTATCCAGGTTTTTCAAATGTTAACTAAGATCCGTCCCAAACATACGGGTCTCGGTAATGTTATTTAAATAAAGTTGTTACTCACGTTAGCTCGTTTGTTAAGACATTCAGCTCACGTAACAATGTCGTCCCCCCTGAGTCCAGGTTGTAAATTAAAGGGGGACAATCGACGTGAGGTAGACCACATTTCACATGTATGTCGAGCAGGCCCCACCTCACAAAGTCAAACCGAGGTGAGTCGGTGTCACGTGATCTGCCGTTTTTAACGTACCGGTACATAAAATAATGTAGTCCTACTCACCCCACTCTCACAAATTTGAAAAAAAAAATAAAAAATTACCCGTCATTAATGCTCACAGCAAATGTCAAGGGATACCTTTAATAATATCCGGACAAACATATTGACCTCGGTGTTCGATCAAAAATGAAATGTGCAACGAGTTGATTGACCTATTTAGCTTCTTAAAACAACGGTACCATCCATGCTTAAAGCAATGGGACACCAGCCATACTAAAAACTGGACCGTCCTTGCTTCAAACAATGGGACCACCCATGGTTAAATCTAAGGGACCACCCGTGCTTAAAACAATGGGACCACCCATATGATTAAAACAATGGGACACCACCCGTGCTTAGAACAACGGGACCACCCGTGCTTAAAACAATGGGACACAACCCATGATTAAATCTCAGGGACCACCCGTGCTTAAACAATGGGACCATCCATGATTAAAACAATGACACCACGCATGCTTAAGACAATGGGACCACCCGTGCTTAAAACAATGGGACCATCCGTGCTTAAAACAATGGGACCATCCGTGCTTAAAACAATGGGATACAACCCATGATTAAATCTCAGGGACCACCCGTGCTTAAACAATGGGACCACCCATGATTAAAACAATGACACCACCCATGCTTAAGACAATGGGACCACCCGTGCTTAAAACAATGGGACCACCTATGCTTACAATAATGGGACCATCCGTGCTTAAAAGGTGAATTTTAGCTGCAAGACCTTCCTTACGCAGGTACTGGATTAATATTTTCTCATTGTTAAAATAATTATTGTGAATTATTATCTGTAGAAGCCTGTAAAATCACACTGTAATATTGTCAGACTGTAACCATAATAATTAAACATTATTCATCTGCTAAATTTGCTTCAATTATTTTCCTAGAGCAGTGTTTCCCAAATTTTTAAGTTTGGCGGACCGGTGGAAAAGTTTAGAAATTGTATTAGGGATCCGTGCCATGTTTATTAATTATAGATTCGTTTTATTTGACATTTAATTTTCATGTTGTGCAGACCAGCAACGTAAGGTTCGCGTGCCGGTGTCGGTTCGTGGACCGCCATTTGGGAAACGCTTGTCTAGAACTCGAGATTCCTCGAAAATAATCATTCAGCTCACCGCCCTTAACAAATCAAATAATTTAAAAAAAAAAAAATTAATTATTTAAAAAATAGTTATACTAATAAATAATTTACTATTTTAAATTTTAAGCTTTTGTTCTAGATATTTGTTTTATAATAATTGTAATGTTTGCTTATTTCGCGCCACCCAAGTCCTTCCCCGGCTCTCGTTAGCTCTGCCTCGAGAGATTTTCAGATCTTGACAGAATTGAGAGTTACATTCGTCTGCTCCAGAATCCTTTTGAATATAACTTTTGATGGTGTGTCAGTTGAACTACAGTTGGAGCTCATTGATTTGCGAGCAAAATGGCTTGTTGAAAGAGAAGCCCGGAAAAAGTAAAAACTAAAATTGTTGAATCTTACCACATCTCACCTGACTTTCATTTTACGAAACTGAAGAAGTTTGCCGCTGGTATGGCATCGGTGTTTGGAACCACTTATGTCTGTGAGCGAACATTTTCAAAAATGAAGTATGTTAAGTCAACACATCGAACGAGACTGACTGAAGAACATTTGAAAGCAATTGTCTTGATAGAATACAGCAATTCCAAACCAAACGATGATATTTTACAAGACAAGCGTCAGTTTCATAATCTTACAAACCTTTTTTTTTTGCTGCTTAGTCTTAGTTTATGTGATTCGCATATCTGCGCACTAGGTCTGATGTAACTATCTTTTTGACAACGTCGCCTTCTTTGATAACTTTATAGCAAATAAATATGCTGGTTGTCTTTGATTTTTTTACATTGCACGCCACTCACCCATGACTAACATCGAAAACTAAACTTAGTTTCTAGTCTTTTTTTCCCCAGAGTTTTGTGTTCTGACTTGCAAGTATTGTACAGAATGATTATGTGGCCCGCGCTCATCTTTTTTTCCCCGTTATCAGGCCCACTGTTAAAAGGTTTGGTGACCCCTGACATAGAGGTTCATCAAATGTTTAAAGGTTCAAACTCTTGCCCATCACGCGAACAAAACAGCATTTAAAATCCACGTACGCCGCGACCATTTGACAACGTCACACGCAACTTTTGGACTTTGTAATTCCGTCATCGATTAAAAAAAATGGAGAGGGGAAAAAAAAAAGAATTCTAATATAATTGAGGTGTCTTGAAATTCAATTTGGACGTTCATGACATTGACGTGTGACATTAAATTGATAGCACACATAAACTGTCATTCTCGTCCGGTCTACGTTATTCAACAGTAAAAAAGGAAGTGGTTCTAAAAACCGTGGTCGAGACCCCATCGGGAGTCGCCAGACGTTTTTTCGGGTGTCACTTTAGATATTCGGGATTATTATTATGTTTTTGGTGGGGGAAAAAATGCAATTTAAAGACAATAATTGTATAGCCATTTGTTTTTCAAATTTAAATATTATGCACAGAGTTCCGGCTGCTTTCTTATATATTGCCACTTGTATACATGACAGCTAAAGCACTACATTACAGCTAATGCACTACATTATAGCTAATGCCTGACATTACAATGCAATAATTTATTCGATACAAACGCATATAATGTAATTTTAAAAACTTGAAACTTTCTTTTTCATTTATTATAAAATAGAATAAATGACCCGATGTTATCGGGATAATAACGATAGGTCCTTTGCGATAATTTCCAACTGCTATTGCAAAAAATCATTTCAATTCATAACTTTTAAAATGTAATGATATTTACGTTTCTAACATCATTATGTTTTAAGAAGTGTTTATCTGCTATATTTGATACGAGTACCCTACACCCTTTCACGCTCCTAAAGTACTTTTCCCCCTCTAAACATGACCTTAAATTACCCAGTCTAAATTTCACTAATTATATCACTTTTGTCACTAAAGAAGTTAATTAAGGGACAATTACTACGCTAGAGAAATACTTTAGATTTACCCCTTTTCGTGCCCTTGAATTACAACTTTTTTTCTCTCAAAAATTTAAAAAAACCCAATCTTAAATTTACAAAAAAAAACCCTCTATATATGATATAAAGGAATGCGATGTATATTTTATATCTTCATCAAAAATTTAAACACATTTTTCCTTTAAAAAAAATACATTATCAGATAATCGTGAAACAAAGAATTCTTTTATCTAAGAAGAATCTTGCAACTTTTTTCACGCCTATATCAGATTTGACTATCTATTTTAAAAAAAATAAATTATTAATCTCATAAAATACATACCTCTTTACAACAAAGTAACAACAAAAATATATTTTCATTAATAAAAAAAAGAAAATATTAACCCATCTTCATTTGTCGAAATTTAATTTTAAAGTGTGTAAAATGATTTGATTTTGATATTCATGGGTATACTTATATAAATTTACCCAAGATTTGTTAACGCCATTGATTTTCTTAATTGGTAGACATATGTTTATTTGTAAAAAGAGAATTTAACAACTCTTTTTTCACAAATGTAATACAATAGGATTTAAATATATTGTCATCCGTGTAAAAATTTACACATTCTTTTTCCTACCTCCGATATGTATGTACCCAAGAAGGTTAATTATTAATCAAATTAATTCCTTTATTTTGGGACGTATCTTGTATTGCCTTGGGCAAAATGAACAGACCAATATTTGTAAAAAGAGAATGTAACATCTTATTTTTTCTCAAATGTAATACCATAGGAGTTAACTCTGTTGTCATCCACATAAGACTTTACACATCTTATTTCCTACCTCCGATATGAATGTATCCAAGAAGGTTAATTATTTATCAAGTTCATTATTTTATTTGAGACGTATCTTGTGCTGCCTGGGGCAAAGTGACCAACCCCTCCCCCACCCAGATTGAAATAAATTTAGAAAATCTTCCACCGGATTGTAGTCCCGTCCATACCCAAAATAACATATTTTTCGCTTCATATGGTTCGTTCTTATTTGTATGAGGTATAAGTGCATTAGTGAATGCTATTTAGCTATGGAGTTGCGCTGCACTTATTGACTTAAACCGCATTCTCTTATTAGAATTATATCTAAAGATTAGTTTTTATTACGTTATAAATTTAATAAAAGTATGTTTTTGGAACCAAAAAAAGGTAACACTTTTTAAATGTAAAAATATACAAAGCAAAAATGTGTGTGTTTAATTAACAATTTAAAAAGCAATCAATTGTATTTATTAATTTTACTTTTAAGTGGGGAAAATACATCATCAGTTTTGTCACGCGCGGTTATTAAATTTAAAGAAACCTAATAGTTTTGGCGAAATAGGCGATTCACACTATGACGTCATTTGCGTGATTACTTAGAACAAATTAATTTTAATTTTATTTCGCATTATAAACAACGCATTAAAAGACGCACCAAAAATGACTGATGATTGGGTTTTATCGATAAATGTGATTACGGTGTAATTCTTTGATCATGATTTTTTTTCGATAACTTTCAAACACATATAAAATGTTTAAAATAGTTCCTTATTTGATACTTTGAATGTATTTGTAATTTATAATAATAATAATACTTAAACTTTTACTAAAATAAAAGCGGATTTTAAATATTTCTTTGCACATTTAAATTTATTTGATTTCCGTAAAATAATAGATAATAACTATGATTGTTTTTAGAAATCCGAATGTACTTAAATCGTATCTCCCCTTTGGCGTTATGTCACTATAGCTCATTCTTATATATATTTATATATAAATAAATCTAATCAACTAAAAACAGGAAAAAATACAAGAATTCAAATATACCGGTATATATATTCATATATATATATATATATATATATAATATATAAATATATACATATACCGGTATATTTATTTCATATGATTATGATATGATTCCTGTGTTTGAGTTGATTTTTTTTTTCTTCCGCCGATGTCTTATATAACGAATAACCTTAATTTACTTTTTGTTACATTAATGTTTCATTGTAAACTACACATTTAGGATTAAAAATTTAATTCTTTGAAAAGTGTAAAACATTCCCCAGAATAAACACATATTTTGTTTAAAAATACTGAAATCACTTTTGTTTTGAAATACTTTTTCTTTAAAAATAATAATAAAAACCCCCAAATTGTTTTTTTTTAAAATTAGTCTATTGATTGAAACACAAATGAAGACAACGGATTTTTACCAATGTTATTATTTTTTTTTTATGTGTACTTTCTAATTCTACATGAATGTGTCGAGGTCCAAAAATGTCAACATTTTGTGCATTAAGTTTCATTCAGGAGATCTTTACACCAATTTCCAGCGGAAGGTTGCAAGCTGCAAACATTAATTTTTATGAAATTTTAATAGTCTCCAAAAGAAAAAAAAAATTAACAAGCGTTGTGAACTCATGGTACAAAAAATAAAGAGACAAGAATGTATCGTACTTTTTTTTTTATTGATATGGAATATCGAATAAATGCTGGCGCTAACTTCGTCTTTACAGTGACGTCATAATTATTACCCAAAAAGATTTTGGGGAATTCTTTGCTGAGATAACAAAACATTTTCAGGTAGTAAAACCGTGGTAATCGTCATGGTAATCGGCATGGTAATCGTCATGATAGTCGTCATGGTAATCCATTTTATGTTTAGCATCGATACAATTTCATCTCGTGAGCGTATCGATCCTTGTTTATCAAATTGTCAAGCTGATATATGAAGTCGGCGAGATGATTTCCACAAGACTTCTCAAGCGCTCGTCGATGGCAGGATCTGTACTCTTGTACGTGTCTGAAAGTAGAAAAGTACGGTTGTACGTGTCTGAAAGTAGCAAAGTACTGTTGTACATGTCTGAAATTAGCAAAGTACGATTGTACATGTCTGAAATTAGCAAAGTACTGTTGTACATGTCTGAAATTAGCAAAGTACGGTTGTACATGTCTGAAATTAGCAAAGTGCGGTTGTACATGTCTGAAATTAGCAAAGTACTTTTGAACATGTCTGAAATTAGCAAAGTACGGTTGTACATATCTGAAAGTAGCAAAGTAATGTTGTACGTGTCTGAAAGTAGCAACGTACTGTTGTACTGTCTGAAAGTAGCAAAGTACTGTTGGACGTGTCTGAAAGTAGCAAAGTATGGTTAAGTCCTTACAGTGGCCACGTAATGACTAATAACTTTACAGGTTCATATTTATATATTTACAGAGGTCAATTAAAATTAAAGGGGCCCCAGATTCGAAGTAACATATACAGGAATCATTAAAATGAAAGGGCCCCAGGTTTGTAGTAACATTCAGTAAAAATGAAAGGGCCCCAGGTTTGTAGTAACATTCAGTAAAAGTGAAAGGGGCCAGGTTTGTAGTAACATTCAGTAAAAATGAAAGGGCCACAGGTTTGTAGTAACATTCAGTAAAAATGAAAGGGCCACAGGTTTGTAGTAACATTCAGTAAAAATAAAAGGGGCCCCAGGTTTTTAGTAACATTCAGTAAAAATAAAAGGGCCCCAGGTTTGTATTAGTATTCAGTAAAAATGAAAGGGCCCAAGTTTGTAGTAACATTCAGTAAAAATGAAAGGGCCCCAGGTTTGTAGTAACATTCAGTAAAAATTATAGGTTTGTCGTATTTTGATATTGATTATGAGGTCCGTGAAAATGGCGGGAAAAAAAGGGGGGCGCGGGATTTCAATAAGGACCCCCCCCCCCCACTTACCGACACAATAAACTCCCTCCGTACTGTGGTAGATGGTTCACCCTTCCCTTCTTTGCCGTGTGGTATCGAATTAGTGACGTCTTCTGGCAATCCACCGTGTAGCGTCCAATGTTGAGCTTTGTATTGCACGACATTCCGTCCAGGAGCAGGAACGCTGCACGTTGAAACATGGAAGAAATCAACAAATGGGATTAAATTAAATGACGGCCCACAGGAAGTTTTGACCCACTCCGGTGACACATACCCTGGAGGCGCCACTGGTACGACATTGAAAGTTAAAATGTTTATTGATTACAACTAAAATGTTTATTCGGTTACAATTAAGATGTTTATCGGTTACAATTTAATAATCGTTATTTCGTATTCTTTTTGCTTCTTACGTGGTTGTTTATTTTCTTTACGATACAAAGTAATGTCTTTTTTTAACCTTCCCCTAGGCCCTGGGTGACTATGTAGTCTTGACATTGATATGGAGTGGGTGACATGACACGGAGTGGGCGACATGATGTGGACTGAGTAACATGACACAGAGTGGATGACATGACACGGAGAGGGTGCCATGACATGGAGTGAGTAACATGATAGATGTTATCGGATCTTTACTTCCAAAATTAAATTTTAAAAAAAATATGTAAAAACTCGTCATCTATTTATTTGAATGGGAAATATTCACATCTACCGTATTTACTTAAACAACACTTTTAAAGAAGACTTTAAAAAAAATTGGCATGACCTTCACGACCTTGACCTTGACAGATAAAGTCTAAAAGGGACGTGTAGTAGTTTGACCTCTCTTCACCCCAGTGAATATCTTTACCGCATGTCCACCACAGCTGGTCAACACAGGCGTGAAATGACATCTTGTTTCTGTGGAAGCATTTATGGCAACATTGAAATGACCGCTAGTTACAAATGGAAGAAGCATAATCTTAACATTCCTCTGTGTCTCGACGTGCGCCTTTAAATCCCAACTTGTATCATTGTAAACTATGTTATTGACAACGGAGATATCACTAAGACTATAAGTTCCTCTGCCCGCATGTAAAAAATTGAGCGTCCCGGTCATAACGACCGGCACGAAAAGCTGGTGTTTCTGGGCCTCTGTAAATAAACACTTTTGGGCACCTTTTAAATCAATTTTTTTTTTAAAATTTAACTCTAAAAATACATTGACAAGGGGAAAACCCGGACAAAAGCAATATTTATGGAAATCCACCTGGTCGCCCAGCCCTGGGCCTAAAAAGCGGACAAGTCCGAAGAACAGTGCCGTCTTAAGGCATGGGCCCGGTGGGTACTGTCCCCAGGCCCCGCACTTCTAGGGGGCCCCTTGCTTCTAGGAGACTCACTCTTATAGAGGCATCATGTTGCAAATAGTGTTCATGAATGAATATTGAAAATTTTTGGCAATTAAATCAAATTTGTGGACAGCACGTTTCCAAATTTTAACTGACAATATAATCGGCACGTTCCAAAATTAATATTATAAATGCGAATACCAAGTTGGATACTTTTTAAACTTTTAAAGGGGAATAACTCTCGTCAACAAGTTTTTCTTCTCACCAGATATGAATCGAAAAATAATAAAATAAAAGTATTTATTTACAATCATATATGTTGGCAACGGGCGCTAATAACCCTAGATACGCCACAGCTCAGTATTGAAATTAGTGGAGAAAAGTCTAACCTAGCACCAGTTAAAGTCATACTGAAATCAATTAGCAATATTTATGGAATTTGTAGGTCTCCAATGAATAATTCTTTTTAAAAGTAAATTAATTTTTTTAAGAATAAAAAAAAAAAACAAAAAAAAATCAGTAAATAACTTTTTATTTTTTAAACAGAAAAATATTTTGTATTCTGTGCTTGAAAAACAAATGTATATATTATAAATAGAACCCAACAGTCACCGTATGTCTGAGCTGTAAGCAGAAATAGATAGGCATTTAGATATAATTGTGCTGACCGTTTAAAGCTCAAAGTCATGTTCATCTTACATACCGAGTAGCTCAAACACAGAGATCGATTTTATTAATGGCACCATGGCTATTGATCATTTCCCGGTGTTCGTTTTTAGCTTGGCACGAGTCAGTTTGAAGGGACTGACAAATCCGTTAAAAAAAAATTATTAACTGTATCTTTTAAACGGATTGCTGCTATTACTTTAGAAATACTTGTAACCAATGAATCAGAGCCGTTCTTAGGAGTTTGGGGGCCCTAAGCTTGGAGCGTAGGTTGGGGGCCCCGGAAGGGGGCTTCGGGGGTGGAGCTCCCTCGAGCTGAGGAGAAAATATCACCCAAAGTCCCCCCTGCTGTTTCCTTTCCCCTGCCTCCGAATTCAACTCAGAATGATAAATTTCAGGATAAGGTTACGTGAATGACACAGACGGCTGCAGTGCCAGTTTAAAACAAAAAAAAACCGGGGATCGAAGAACGGGGCTGAATGAATCTATTTCTAGTTGTTTAACCTCTTAAGCGGGAATAAAAAACTAGTTTTATAATTGGAGCACAGAAGAGAAAAAGAGCTGAGGAGACAAGGAAAATGGGTAGACTTGCATAATTAACATCTTGGTTAAATCAATAGAAATATCAGTACTAGTACCGCTCCTCAAATAACGTAAGGTCATCTAAATCCTCTATTGGAACCAGCCATCTAGTTCCAGACAATAGCATTACTTAATTCCTCTTCTTGGGAAATTGTAAAAACTGAAACACACAAAACTGTGTCAGGAAACGAGAGTGTGTGATTCGCGACACAGAACCCGGGCTCTGGAATATCAAGAACACTTGTACAGTTGAGTGCTGGATTCGCGGTGGGCCATTATTGTGACCGATTCATGACTGCAAACTTTCAAACTCAGGCAGAGCTGGAGAAGAAAGAACTAAGACAAGGTATTTATCAAGAAATATGTTCAAACGTGAACTGCGGAATGGTGAGTGCGTAAAACGCGAATGGCTTCTCTATTCACCATATACCAAGGTGGTTTGTATTGTTTTGCGTGTCGTCTATTGTCCAAGAAATCATCTCCCTTTGCTATATCAGGATTCAATGACTGGAAACGTAACAATCTTATTGTAGAACAAGAAAATGGAGTAGAGCATCGCAAGGATGTTACTGCAGATTTGCTTCGACTCAAAGAATCTACGTGTTTAGATCCTGTGTTAAAAACTAGTCAAAGTATTATGCAGTAAGTGTAGATTCAACTTCAGACATTTCACACATTGATCAACTGACATTTACGGTCCTGTACATTCGAGGATGTAAGTCTGTGGAACATTTTATCAAATTAATTTCCATATTTCCCCATGGAGCTAAGGATCTAACAGAGACGGTTGTGTATCAAAGGATCTAGCAGAGACTGTTGTGTATCAAAGGATCTAACAGACACTGTTGTGTATCAAAGGATCTAACAGAGACTGTTTTGTATCAAAGAATCTAACAGACAATGCTTTGGATTTTCTGAATGAGAAAAAAATTCCACTTTTAACTTGCAGTGGTCAATCGTATGACGAAGCCTTAAATTTTTCTGGACGCTACACTGGATTGCAAACACGGATACTGAACGAGTTTGCCGTGTATGTCCCTTGTGCTGGACACAGCCTGAACTTAGTGGGCTTAAAAGCAGCAGAGTGTTGCCTACAGTTTGAAAAATTCTTTGACATGTTCAGCGCCAATATACCCTTTTCATCAGCTTCTACACATCGATGGAATGTTCTGGTATATTCCTTAGGAAAATCTCTCACTGTCGTAAAGCATCTGGCTGACACAAGATGGTCGGCACATTTTCATGCCGTTAAAGTTTCGAAAAAATACAAGATGCTCTAGACTCTGTATCAGCTGACACTGACCAGGAAAAGAAAAGAAAAATGTCGGCAGAAGGACTAAGTAAGAAAATGGAGAACCTGATAATTTATCATCATCTGCGATGAATTGTAATGAATGTCTGATAATGTTTTAAAACTATTATTGAATTGGAATGATTTTGTTTTTGTATCAACAAGTTAACTTAACCTATTTTTAACTTTATTGAATGTTTATTCTTATTTTACAATGTTATTTCTCTTGATGAGTTGGGTTGGGAGCAACAACTGTTTGCGGCCCCCACCCCACTGTTTGAGCATGGGGTGAGTGCCCCCTTCCCCCCTTCTCATGCCCCTGGTGTGCTGTGTTGCAGGAGGCCCAGTGCATTGCTGTGCCAGGGCCCCCCTTCTCACGACCCTGGTGTGTTGTGTTGCAGGAGGCCCAGTGCATTGCTGTGCCAGGCCCCCCCCTTCTCACTCTCTTCTCATGCTCCTGGTGTGCTGTGTTGCAGGAGGTCCTGTGCATTGCTGTGCCAGGGCTCCCCTTCTCACGATCCTGGTGTGTTGTGTTGCAGGAGGCGCAGTGCATTGCTGTGCCAGGCCCCCCCCTTCTCACGACCCTGGTGTGTTGTGTTGCAGGAGGCCCAGTGCATTGCTGTGCCAGGCCCCCCCTTCTCACGACCCTGGTGTGTTGTGTTACAGGAGGCCCAGTGCATTGCTGTGCCAGGCCCCCCTTCTCACGACCCTGGTGTGTTGTGTTGCAGGAGGCCCAGTGCATTGCTGTGCCAGGGCCCCCCTTCTCAAGACCTGGTGTGTTGTGTTGCAGGAGGCCCAGTCCATTGCTGTGCCAGGGGCCCCCTTTGTTCTTAAGACAAAGGCAGAGGAAACCCGGACGCATGGTATTGAAAAGTCTTGCAAATTCCCTCTACATACATAGGAGCCGAGATGATCAATAAATTGATCGTGGGCCCTTAATATATATATAAGAGGAAGAAGAAGAGAAAAGCTACCAAACAAACAAAATAGCACAAACACGCTTTATAGCGTCATTTTTGTTTGCTTCTTAAACAAAAATTAAAGTTTTTCAACCAAAAAAAACATTGTTTCTTTTAAATGTAGGTTGGCATGTTGATTAAATTTACCGTATATTCACCCCAACCCATCTTATTCAGAACACCCCCCCTCCCCCTCCAACTCACCTGCACATGCCGTCAAGTCCTTCGTCGCTTATCCGGACAGTACGTCCGGTCAGGTAATGTTTTTGGAAATTTTCGAAGTAATCCATGTGGTGCTTCACGCATTTTTCAAACGCTTTTTTACAGTCTTTTCTCTTGGCGACCCCGTCTGACTTTCTCCTGGCCAGCTTTTCACGTGCCTCATTGTTACCCACTATCGCATTGTTTGTTTGTGCCGTGTCGCCGACAGATGCGGCAAACATGGGAGCTGAACGTACACACAAGAAACACGTTGTGAAGTCACGTATTGGGTGATGACATCATTTCAGGAATGCGGATATATATTTTTAAGTAGTAAGAAGGAAAATATGAAGGCGAAGACAAAAGGGTTAAAATTAAAGAAGATGATGGATGTTGTAAGAAAAGTTACACGGAAAGAAAAAAGGGAACACAATAAATATCTCATATGTGACGGATTGGTAAACACATCATATTATTTAAGCATCTAAACAAATTGAGAAACATAAACGCGTGTAAAATATAATTGTACAACTTTAGCATTTTAAATTTCGTATTAAGGCCTTCAGTCATTGATGAGAAAAGTTAAATCAAATATTGAGAAAAGGGCTGTTATCATTATAATGCGAAAATAAATCCCAGAAACCACCTGCTGCTAAAACCACAGCAACAAAACTCCAAAGAACACGCATGGTGCTGAACACACAGACTCAGCCTGGAACGTTTCTCCGCCAACACACTGTGTTGTGTTTTTTTCCCCTTCAGTTTGCCAGTGTCCTGGTGAATTTATTTTTTTCTAAAAAAAAAAAAAAAAAAAAAAAAAAAAAATGCCTGGAACTTTTCTCCGCCAACACACTTGGTTTTTTTTTTTTCCCCTTCAGTTTGCCAGTGTCCTGGTGAATTTATTTTTTTCTAAAAAAAAAAAAAAAAAAAAAAAAGAAAAAAGGTATCATAACATCAGAGCCAAAAATGCTTCGTAATTATGATTGGTGCAGGGAGCATTTGCTTTCCATTAAGTCGCTTTCTTTCATAAACAAATCTCCCCGTTTATTTGGGGGTGGAGTTACATTCTAAGCCAATGAGAACTAATCAGTGGATCTTTTGAACCACGCATATGTTTGAATTTCAAGACGAAACGGCCAGGCCTAATAGGAACTTCCAGGCAGTCAAAATTGAATAGGAAACTGATCAGGGGGGGGGGGCGGGGGGGGGGGGGGGGGGGGGTGGGGGGGTGAAACTGTACCAGAGGTATGACGTCAGCTGAAACTCTCCATCGTGAAAATATCTCCGTTTGGGATTGACACACGAACAGCTACATAAACATGGACACATTCAGACACAGTGGAGTAGCTGGGGTTAGGGGCGACTGGGGCGAGTACGGCGACATAGACATGGACACAGTCAGACACAGTGGAGTAGCTGGGGTTTGGGGCGAGTACAGCGACATAGACATGGACACAGTCAGGCACAGTGGAGTAGCTGGGGTTAGGGGCGACTGGGGCGAGTACAGCGACATAGACATGGACACAGTCAGACACAGTGGCGTACCTGGGGTTAGTGCTGACTGGGGCGAGTACAGCGACATAGACATGGACACAGTCAGACACAGTGGAGTAGCTGGGGTTATGGCCACTGGTGCGAGTACAGCGACATATACATAGACACAGTCAGACACAGTGGCGTAGCTGGGGTTAGTAGCGACTGGGGCGATTACAGCGACATAAACATGGACACAGTGGCGTAGCTGGGGTAAGTGGCGACTGGGGCAATTACAGCTACATAAACGTGGACACAGTCAGACACAGTGACGTAGCTGGGGTTAGTGGCGACAAGGACGAGTACAGCGACATAGACATGGACACAGTTGTGGGTTAGGGAGGGTTAAAAGCTCTTTTGTGTGTACGCATAGATGAGGAGGTCCAATGATGCACTGGTGGGTAATTAATATATTATATGTGGCGGTCCATTTAGCGCAAAGGGAATTTTAATCAAACAAAATTAGGGGAATCCTCTTAATACCAGTCAAGTGTAGTGAATTTTCGAATCAGAAGTGAGGCCAAAAAAAAAAGGAAAAAAAAAAGATGCAACATGACTTCCGTTTAAATTGAGTGCCTTTTACATCAGTGCAGCTGTATGTAGACCATACTTTCACACTATTCTTCTTAATGTATATTCATAAATGCTGCTTTAAGTTTAAGAAAGGGAAAACAAAATAATTGTTTTTTTTTCAAGAATATAGCAAACCTTTCAAACATTTGCAGATACGGTATCTTATTCTGAAAGTCCAACTTCACCCCCCCCCCTACTCCCACAGTGTTACTGGCGTCGTTAAACCGAGATCTTTGAGTTGATTTTTAAACATGTATTGGCCTATTGTGTGCCTGATTACATTCCACCTCTTAGCCTGCAATCACCTTACACCTCTAGACACCTGAGTCACGGCCAGGTTCTCATTTATTTTGAAAACGCCCGTGCTGCGAGGAGACGCGGCTGGCTGAACCAAGAATGTGTTTGCCTAATGAGCTTCAATGGCCAATGGCCACCGACCGGTGCTCACATAGTTAGTTCACTCTTCAGTGAAGTTTAACCAGGGGGCCTCAATCTGTTTGACTAACATGCCAGCGGTTTTTAACTTTAAAAAAAACAACAAAAAACATAACAAAAGAACAACACACAAAAAAAAACAACAACCCAGATAAGTAAATGTTATATAAAGCCATAATAGAACTACGATACACCAAAAGTACAATTATACAAGACGTAATTCAAGTACCGGTACTTCAAAAACATTTTTTTTAAAAATCTGCTCACTCAGTGATGACAATCCAAGCAAAATTATTGGTGTAATTATTGTTACATTGTCGTTTTAAGTTGTTTGTAAATTGCTTAGAGTTATATATAGCCTGGTATAGGGTAGGGCTTGGCTATTTTTAGCCACCACAACTTGTCTTGAGATCTTGATATTGACGTCACCGAGTAAATGTATTGTTTCACTCCTTCCTTTCCCGCCCCTTTCTTTGCTGGGAAAAGGTTGATTACTAGGAGATGTTTATATTCCAATGCGTTCTATTTATTCAAAAGAATTTGATTAGATAACGCACAATTTTAGAATTTTTGTACAAGAACGTTATGAGTTGGTTCCTATACATAGGCTGCTTGCTATCTTGGCAGCGAGACTTAGGTAGACAGAGCGAGACATATAGAGAGAGCGAGAGACTTCGCTAAACGAGACCTTATATTATTGTGTGTGTAAATTAATATTTTTTTTTAAAGGGATGTACATTTTGTACTTGCTGTAAGTTGATACAGTTGTTTGCTTCTGTTCTCATATTTGTAACTTATTGATTTTCGTAAGTATCATTAAATTCAACATTGCTGTATCACTGGCTTTGGTATCGTTCTCTTTGCACACTGTTGTATCAGTACTTTGGGGGCGTCCATTAATTACCGTATTTATCGGCGTATAACACGCACAGGCGTATAACACGCGCAGGCGTATAACACGCACAGGCGTATAACACGCACAGGCGTATAACACGCACAGGCGTATAACACGCGCAGGCGTATAACACGCACAGGCGTATAACACGCGCAGGCGTATAACACGCACAGGCGTATAACACGCACAGGCGTATAACACGCGCAGGCGTATAACACGCGCAGGCGTATAACACGCGCAGGCGTATAACACGCACAGGCGTATAACACGCGCAGGCGTATAACACGCGCAGGCGTATAACACGCGCAGGCGTATAACACGCACAGGCGTATAACACGCACAGGCGTATAACACGCACAGGCGTATAACACGCACAGGCGTATAACACGCACAGGCGTATAACACGCACAGGCGTATAACACGCACAGGCGTATAACACGCACCATGTGCGCCGCTATGCGGTATGTACTATGGGTCCTTAACATTATATCGGCGTATAACACGCACACATCATAAAGGGGGGAGGGGGTACAAAATTGCAAAAAAAATGTTGACGTATTTAATGGACGAGCCCTTAGTTTGCGTGTTGTTGATTACACCAAAACCACAACAACAACTTGTTTTAACATCGCTATAAATAGCTTTTTAATTTTTATCAATTCTTTGACGCATCAGTTGAAAAATGTAACGGTAACAGAGTCTGGCTTTGAAGGCTTTGGTTATGTTAAGGACATACCATCAAGCAGATGTCCATCACGACGACTCCAATATGAGCTCATGATGTCTTGACCATGGGCGGACTCCAACATGAGTTCATGGCGACGACTCCAACATGAGTTCATGTAGGAATATTTAAAAAAAAAAGGTTGGTGTGGGGAGAGGGGCTGTCTATCGATCATGGCCGGATAATTTAGTCAATTTAATTAAAGCTATAGTATTCACACATTTTATTTCTTAAGATTGTCTGACATTTTCATCAAAAAAGTCCTAATTAAATGTTAATTTCACTTTGAGTGGTGTTTATTCATTCTAATTCTCAATACTATCTCAGGTTGGGGGGGGGGGGGGGGGGGGGGGGGTCACTTGGGGGCGAATCCCCCCTAAACCTCATTTTCATCAAAAAAGTCCTAATTAAATGTTAATTTCACTTTGAGTGGTGTTTATTCATTCTAATTCTCAATACTATCTCAGGTTGGGGGGGGGGGGTGGGGGGTGGTCACTTGAGCGCGAATTCCCCCTAAACCCAACCCACTTTAACAAACGATATTTTGCAGCAGCTCTTGGTCCTGAATTCGACGCTATCCCTTGTGTGTATTATTGGGTGAACAGGTTTAGATTTATATGTTGAGGGTGATAAGGTTTATAGTTAAATGTTTAGGGTGGCCAGGTTAAGAGTTAAATGTTTAGAATGGCCAGGTTGGAGTTAAATGTTTAGGGTGACTAGGTTTATAGTTAAATGTTTAGGGTGGCCAGGTTTAGAGTTAAATGTTTAGGGTGACCAGGTTTAGAGTTAAATGTTTAGGGTGGCCAGGTTTAGATTTAAATGTTTAGGGTGACTAGGTTTATAGTTAAATGTTTAGGGTGACTAGGTTTATAGTTAAATGTTTAGGGTGACCAGGTTTAGATTTAAATGTTTAGGGTGGCCAGGTTTATAGTTAAATGTTTAGGGTGACCAGGTTTAGATTTAAATGTTTAGGGTGGCTAGGTTTAGATTTAAATGTTTAGGGTGACTAGGTTTATAGTTAAATGTTTAGGGTGACTAGGTTTATAGTTAAATGTTTAGGGTGGCCAGGTTTAGATTTAAATGTTTGGGTGGCCAGGTTTATAGTTAAATGTTTAGGGTGGCCAGGTTTAGCTTTAAATGTTTAGGGTGGCCAGGTTTATAGTTAAATGTTTAGGGAGACCAGGTTTAGATTTAAATGTTTAGGGTGACTAGGTTTATAGTTAAATGTTTAGGGTGGCCAGGTTTAGATTTAAATGTTTACGGTGACTAGGTTTATAGTTAAATGTTTAGGGTGACCAGGTTTAGATTTAAATGTTTAGGGTGTCCAGGTTTAGAGTTAAATGTTTAGGGTGGCCAGGTTTAGAGTTAAATGTTTAGGGTGGCCAGGTTTAGAGTTAAATGTTTAGGGTGGCCAGGTTTAGAGATAAATGTTTAGGGTGGCCAGGTTTAGATTTAAATGTTTAGGGTGGCCAGGTTAAGAGTTAAATGTTTAGGGTGGCCAGGTTTAGATGTAAATGTTTAGGGTGGCCAGGTTTAGATTTAAGTGTTTAGGGTGGCCAGGTTTAGAGTTAAATGTTTAGGGTGGCCAGGTTTAGAGTTAAATGTTTAGGGTGGCCAGGTTTAGATTTAAAT